TGGGACCAAGCTCAGATGTCATCCAGCACTTCTGGTCAAGCCTTATGCCTTCACTAGTCCTGGTCTCACTTTGGGTGCAAGAATTATATTGTCTTCACATTTTTCTGCATTATGATGTTGTTGGTCACATGATTTATGTGAATGATGAGAAAATGTGACAAGAGAGGGACAAAAGAGATGTAGAGGAATGCATGATGAAGAAGATAGTCAGGCAGGAACATTCTTGTCTAATTTCAACAGTTGCACATCCATGTGAATGTGGTAATTTTGTCTGCTGGTGGTAGAGAGACATTTGAAAAGGTTCAGTCAGGAGGATATATAGGCAATTGATCTTTCTCCAAAGAATCTCTTGGGTTTCTGTCTATCCTCTCCATTGTTAAGGTCTGTCTTTCAAAACAAAAGCAACGAGCAAAACAGCCCACCTCTTCATTGTTTTGAATTTGATGAGGGTTCTTTCCTCTTGTATGCCAATCATTGTATCAGCAAGTCTTTCTGCTTGGACGGATGCTGTCTTTCTGCCTTTTTTTCATACTTGTGCTACTTACATTCAGAAATACAGAGTAGTGCAACGTCTTAGTTCCAATGTCCAAATGCTGAACTCACAATTAGAGGAAGTCTTCTTTAACTAGTAATTATTATTACATTCAAGGGGAAGAAAAGCAACTTGGAAATTATTTGTCTTTTCTAAAAACAAAAAGTGTTGCATAAATATAATTCTGAAGTCTCTCCATCTGGAAAGGGAAATAGTCAAGCAATAGAATCATAGAATGGCTTGCTCAGAGCCTCGTCTAACCTGGTCTTGAACACCTCCATGAATAGGGCATCCACAGCTTCTCTGAGCAACGTATTCCACTAAAATTCCAATAAATTATAATGAATTTAGAACAACACTAGCATCTTATGCAAACAGCTAAACTTCCTCAACCCATTAACCTTAGTAGAGCCCAAATCAGGCCTTTATGATGACAGCTAAGATAAGATCTGTATTTAACTTTAATTCATCGTTTTCCTTGCTTTTTCTTTCCTTATTCTGTTCCTTATCATCATATCCTGTTCATGGTTTAGAGGCCAATTCATTCAGTGCTTATAAGCTTCTGTGTTTTTTTTCATTATCACAGAATTCATGAATATACATACTTCTTAAAATGGTGGTAGTTTTATAATATTTCTTTCACTGCCTCCTAGCAAATTTACCAAGATTTTATTATGTTAAATGAAATATGAGTTTTAAAAGACCTGTTGAGACATTATCATGTGGCAATAGAAAGGAAAAAGTTACAGGTGAGAAGTGAAAAGAGGTTTTTGTTTGTTTGTTTTGTTTTGTTTTGTTTTGTTTTTTTGGTCTCATAAATCAGACCTGCATGCATTTTGAAGAACTGCATGGTTTCTTGTACAGTCAGCAGTTGCACAGAGGTTATCTGCTTAACTAAAGATTACATACAGACATCTTCTGTTGATTTCATTGATCCAGTGTTTCTATTTATTTGAAGAAAAAGCAACCACAAGGGGAAGTTGAAGTGAAATGATCTTTTGGCTTCACCAAGACTAGAACTTAAATAATATATATTTATGTCAAAACAAAACAAAACAAAGTGTGGGATTTTTGTTTTGTTTTGTTTTGTTTTTAACAGGTTATTTGAGACTGAAATATTCAGAGAAAAGTCAGGAAGAACGGAGTTTAAACATTTATTTTTCTTGTGTTCTCATTATAATGTACTTCTGTACCAAAAAAAAAAAAAAAAAAAAAAAAAAAAAAATAGTTATATTGTAAATAATGAAGAATTGTACTTGTTTACACTGAAAAGTAATTATAATCTTCTCATGGACGACTTCTGTACAATTTTGTTACCTGTGTGGGTTCTTGCTGAAGGCAGTGGAAGCTGGGAAAGTGCTGTACATACAAATCTGAGAACCAAAACAAGGGCATTATTCTAGATATGAGCCAACACATTTGAATAATGCATCCATCTCCTTGCAAAGAAAACGTTACTGTTTACCTTGTGCTGCTTCCATTTCAGTTCAGAAGCTGAAAGGCCGAAATATTGCAGTTTCCCAAGAAAGTTCAGAAAGTGACCTATGTACTTCTTGTATGAGAATCCTCTGTCTGACTGGCAGTTTGCACTTTGGGTGGGAAGGTTGGCGTGAACTTAATCTAACTTCATAATCTTTTCAAGTTCCCATTTCATGAATTACAACCTGTTGTATATGCTAATGGAAAAGGTAACTGCTGTCACTTCTGGGAAGGGAAATGCAGAAACTGTGGGGATTATTCTGTGAGCAGGGTCACAAAAAAAATATTCTCTTTTTCCCAGTTCCCCATCTGTCTACCTGGCCAGTCAGGTTGCACATTACAATCCACAACGTGGCTCCTGCTATAAAGTAAGCTTATTAAAGCAATAATTGATGACATACACTGAAAAGACGCAGAAACATTTCCCAGTTTCTTACCACCCCAATTTCTTAGAGTGTTACCCTTACTACTCACTACTGACTGTAAGTAAGTAAAAGAAGGTGCAGTGCTGTTTGTAAGCCCTTCTGCATCCCCAGGAGTGATGTTTTTTTACTCTTGAAGAGCTGGTATAGCTGCATGACTAATGCAAGGTTCTTTTCACAGTACCGGGAAGAAATGTATTAAAATAAATCATTGACTTCAGTAGGACTTAGAGAAAATAAACAGTCCTAACACAGCAGTAGTGGATTGCTTAGTGAAATCCTTTATGAATACAACTGATGTTGCTATTGCCAGGATGCAGAAAACTTCTCAGAAACTGCATATCATAAAATGAAACGTTTCTTTGAAATCGTAGTTCCAGCTTCCAAAAGGTCTATATGCTTAAAGTCTCTTGTCCAGAATATCCACATTACTGTAGTTTAACACAGTACACTTTCTTAAATTACAAATGGAAGGAATAGCAGAAGAATCAATTTATTCTTACACCTTTCCAAAGAAATGAGCTGCTGAGTTGGCCAGGCAATTGATCACAGAACTTGTCATTTACAAGTTCTGAAGAATTAAAGCATTGAGGGAACATTACAGTAATTCTGATGGTTTAGATTTTGTTATAGAAAAACAATACCAACGAAACATGCATTAGTACTAATTCAAATAGATCAGAGACAGAAGTCTTTGGTATTATTTCTGGCATAGTAATTAGTTTAACTTTCTCTTTAAATGTGTAAAATCAGTGCTTTGTGGAGTAATACGGGAGGAATCTTGAATGATTCTGATATATGTATCTCTGCATTGTGATTTTGTGTGTGTGTCTGAGTGCACTTGTGGTAACCAGCAGTAGATAGCTTAAACCTGATAATCTCCATAGTAAACGTGTACTTCCTCCCTTCCCTACATGAGCAAAAGAGATAACAATGGTGCTGTGGGGATAGGTTTCATCTTGTTTTGGCTTCTTTTCTTGTAAGTAACTTTGCCATGCAATACAGTTTGGAAAGACTGATTTTTTTTTTTTGGTGATATTGAAAAACTAGGAAATTTATATTGCAGAAGTCATGGGTAAAACTACTACAGTGTACTGGGCAAATCATAACATGATACAATCAATCAGAAGGCAAAAGGAGCAGACGACCACAATTCATAAGCTTTTGTTAATGAAGTTTTTTTGATTGTTTGTTTGTTTGTTTTTAAGTTACTGAACATTCAATTAAACCATACTGAGTGAAGACACAATACACTTTTCTACCTCCTTCTAAATTATTTTTTCCAGAGCTTTACATATTATACTTGGTAGTGATACTCTTTGTTTCCAAACAAATGGTTCAGAGCCCCTCCTAGTTATAGCATCCCTGCTTCATATTGTTAAGTCTTATATTTTAAATTCCCCACACAAAACAGATCCCACTGAGTACAAGCTGTGAAACAGTTATGTCTCTGTATCCACTGTACCTGCAAGTCTGCCACCAATGTCTGCTGGCAAAGGACCCCCTGCTGCTGAGGACACTCAGAAGCCAAGAGTGGCCCCAGTCCAGTGTGGTGGGACCAGCTCACTATACTTTGCTCAGGTCCTTCATTGCACTGTGTTATAATTGCACTGAATCAAACTGTGTTGAGGTTTTGTTCTCAGTTCATATTGAAGGCTGATCTTGAACAGAAATGAACAGATCTGACCAATTAAGATGGTTTCAAGTGAAACTGCATTTTAGTCACCTGATTAAAAAAAAAAAAAAAAAAGTAAAAGTTCACTTTTTTCTTTTTTTTTCTTTTTTTTTCCTTTTTTTTTTCAAGAGGCTAAATGTTTTTGACATTATTCGTGCTTACTGGTTGTCATTTCTTCCTATTCTTCTCCATGTATTTTTACTTTCCATCCAACCATACACAGTTTTTGTCAAATACAAAATGTAGAACAGAAACAAGGACAAAGCTTGTCAAAAGGGGTATGGAGATTGGGGGTGGGGTGTAGAGAGCAGAAGGAAATATAATTGCTGAGAAGGGAAAGAAAAACTGACACCGATCCCCCCAAACCAGAAGATTTTCTGTTTTCACAAGCGAACTTTCAGTTCTTCAAAGATCTGATGGGATTAACACTATTCTGTCATATTGCCTAGGTTCCAACACAGTCTACGCCTCTCACTGTAGGAAATTAATAATTTTTAGGGATGCTTTAATTTTGAAGTAGTAGGTATTTTCATGTATTTTATAGGTGTTCACTTCCCCATTCCAGAAATAAACAAAAATTATAGTATGAAATACCATAGTATGAACCATACTACTATACAGTAGGAAGGAGCTGAATGACCACTCTTTAAAGGCATTTTAGAGTGAAAATTTACCTAGAGTGAAAATTTTAGATTATATAACCATAACAATGATCTAACAAAATATTCAGCTTCTCTAACACTACAGGAAGATGTGCTACAATATCTGCACAGCCAATCAGCAGTACTACAAGCCTCAGACCAGGAAACTCTTTAAAGTACAGTATGTGTGAACATTGCAACTGAGACTTTCTCATTGCTGCTGTTTCTTTTTTATTTCTCTGTGCTCATAGGACAGCAAAACAGATGTGAAGTCACTCATGGCGAAATTTAACGCGGGTAACAACCCCTCAGAGGACGTTTCTGGTAACAGTCGACCCTTCAAAATTGCAGGACAACCTCTCCATTCAGGATTACAGACAAGGAAAGCAGCACTTGAGAAATTTGCAAGTCAAGGAAATGCAACTACTCCTTCAGGACCCAGTACCTTTCACAAACCTGTTCATCCTAAGACTGCTCTGGGGGTCAAGCCTTCAGCTGATGATAAGACAGAAAAGGATCCAAAGCCCCCATATTTGAAACCAGTGGCACAAAGGTTTGGGGTTCAGCTTCAGACAACTAATAGGGACAATGATGGAAAAACTGGATGCACTAAACCCACTACCAAAACCAGTGACTTGGCAAAAGAAGAGCCAAAGCCTCTGTATCCAAAACCTGCAGGCAACAAGCCTCTTAGCACTGCTCCTCATGAGAAAGAAAAAAGACCTCTGGGAACAAAACCAAATTCAAATTTTGCACCACAGGAGAGTGAGGCAAAACCAGTATTTTCAAAAGTAGCTGGAGTTAAGGAAAAGTTCATGTCCGCATCACAAGAAAATGAGCCCAGGCCTCCTTCCTCTAAACCAGCTCTTGCACAGAAGCCTTCTCTAAACCATGAGGTCTCCCACAGCGAAGACACTTCAAGTAAAAATGCACTTCTGCATAAAGGAGTAGCAGGCCCTAGACCAAAAATACATTCTTTCAAAGCTGCAAAGGAAACAGATGAAAATAGTAACTGTGCTGCAGAAACTGCAAGCAGTCATTTTGCTAACATGGCTCTGAAACCTACTGGCCACTGGTCCAGCTCATCGCAAGGCACCGCCAAAAACATGGATGAAAAGACTGAAGAAAAGGGGGTGAGTGCTGCCAGGAATATCTTTCTCAACAAAGTCAGCCAGGAAGAATCTGGTTCATCGCCTCCCAAGTTCCGTAAGATGAGCACAGCGTTTGCTGCAGGAAAGTCACTGGGTGGGTCAGAAGAAAAGGAGGATGGGGACAAGAGCTCAGGAGCCCCAAAAAGGAAAGCCTTGCCCCCACTGTTCAAGTTGGGCCAGCCCCCGCAGAAACCCTGCCGACCACCCAGCGTGGACCTGGAAAAGTTCCAGAAGAGCATCCCAAAAGACAGTGAGTCCTCTCTGTTCTTGCTTTCATGAGTATTTCTTTTTAACCTATTTAGCACTGGATTTATTTCAGGTGGAATCCTCCATTCTGTTCAGAAATAACACAAGACCTGTGCATCGGACATCTCTTCTATACAGGGCAGAAATTAAAATTATATTTCCTCTCCCTCAGCAGCAGAGAGTGTAAGAGGGATGTTTTCTGTGTTGGGTTCATTTGTTTTTTGAAACTGTTAAGTATTTATTACTTGCAGCAGGGAGTTTAAGTATTTTTCTCAACAGACATTTCAGTCCTGACTTCCTATAAATGAGGTGTTGATGTTCAATGTCCTGTTGTCTTATGAACTTCCTGGGCACAGTCTGATGGCTATCAAAATGATAGTAAACCTGTAGTAACCACACCTTTTTTTTTTTTTTTTTTTTTTTTTGCCTTTCACAATGACTAACCACACGTCCTTATAAGCTGTTGTATTTTATAGTATGTTCAGAAAGTTAGAACACTATGCTGTTAGAGAATGAAGGGTTCCCAGGTAGAGCTGCATGGATTTCATACTCAGATCTGAAACCAGACTCTATAAGCGTCTTCTGCACTTCATGTTTTCTGTTACATTTGTGTGATTTCACTTGCATGGAAGTTTGTAGCACCTGAGGCTCTGCCTCACTGTCCTTATGAAGAAGTAAGCCACTCAACTTTCTGCTGGTTGTAGTTCAGGCATGTATATTAAGGTTTTCAGTAAAACCTGAAGTGGTTTTGCATGTGATGGGAACAAATAAAAAAAAAAAAAAAAAAAAAATAGAATTTCTGTGACTCTACTCACACAAAAAGTTCTACTTCAGCAGGTTCCTTTCACCCCATAGGAAAGTTGCCACAAATATAAGCTGTTTCTGAGGAATTCAAAATATGTCCTTGAAAATCTGAGGTTATTAGATAAAAATATAGTTTCCTAAAGTTAGACCCAGAAATCCCTCCTTAAAGGAGAGATGAGTTTTTCAGATGTTCTGTGTGTCCTTAATTTTCCCTTATATTACCTGTTAAAACATTTGGGTCAAGATTTTCCCCCAGCACATTTTAGGCACTGTTTGATAATTTTAAAAAGCTAAAATCAGCTACTGTTACCTCCAGCTGGAGTAGGGCAATGCCAATTGTCATGTTTCTACTACAATTTTTAGGGTACATGAAGGAAGCTTTCTGTTTTTTCTTATAACGCCAGGCACTGGGAACTATGATTGCATAGGAAACTGATCGTATTTTACAATCAAAGCTTTAAGGTGTATGGGTCCAGGTGAATGCAGTGGTTTTGGGAGAAGCAATGACAGAAACAAAAAAAATGTATTTTTCTGTTACATTTTTATTATTATTCATTTATTTCTGGGTTTTTCTTAGTACACTGTTACCTGCACAGAGATTAGGAAGCAAAGTATATATCCAGTCCTCACATATATATTTTTTTTAGCTCAAGATAACTAGTTAGGTCCTGAAACAATTTGTGTCATGTACTACACACGGCTAAGTAGTTTCTGATAGTGATAAGTTTCTGATAGCATTTCACAGTACCTACATTAAGCATCTGCCTTAAGCATCTCTCTTAGATTAATTAAACAGATCAAACTCAAATTTCCAATATAGTGAGTGGGAAAGGGAGAAGCCCAATGATGTGTTTCAAGGCATTTAAGTTAGATGCCTGATAGAGCTGAGAATAGATGTTCTACAATACTCCACCCTGTGCATGTGCAGTGCATCAGGTACAGTTATGTAGTTTACTTGATACAAAATTTGTCCTTGTGTCTTCTGTACTTAGAATTCAGCACTGCTTGTGTTTCAGCAGCTTTGTAATGCACATAAGAGTAGGCTTCCTGAGACAAAAGACGTTACAAGGTGTTATGACCAGATGAAAAGGCTCAGAGCTGAGTTTCTGTGAAGACAAAATGTCACGCCAAAAGCAGAGTGTGAGTGGAACTATATACTCTATTACTATTTTCTCCTACTCAGAAATGAGGAGCATATCAATAACATAAAATGTACTGACTTGTCAGGTTTATATTCCATTTTTCCTCTCTCTCTCTACATATAAGGAATTGTTCTCACAAATGTATCAACAGGGCCAGATCCTTGAATGGCATAAATTTGTTTCTCTCTTTTAAAAGAGGCATGCCAATTTATAACAATTTGAGTAGTCATCCCTTCTTCACAAAGCACTGTCCATGACTGTCCTTACTGTAGTGCCCAGAAAAGGTTCAAAATGGAAAGACAACGTTTTCAGCAAAGTACAACAGCAAATGTTTTGATTAAACAAAAGCAATATGAGCTTTGCTAATTAGAACATTGAGAAACTGTCCAAGGCTGAATCGCTCAGAAGTGCAATTATTTTAAAAGATATTTGTTAATTTTATTTTAAGTAATTAATGGAGGAATTATCTTTTTATCTTATTATTCAACTATTATTATTATTATTAATAATATTAATAATAATAATAAAAATTTTCTGCTGCCCATGCAGGTGTAGTCACAATACATTTTTCACTGTCTTTTTAACATTGAAGGTTAGAAATATTTATTCCACACATTCCAAATTAACTTGCTGTGTGAACAGGGCTGTAAGGTTAACATCAGCATTTCTGTTGAAAGGAGAATCTCCAGTTACCACTTACCAGTACCAGGACAGCCACCAGCCTGGGTGAGTTGCAATGGGGAGAGGGACAAAACATGGAGCTACCCAACATGGTGGCACAGCTTGTTCTCCAAATATGTTAAAAGATACATACCCAACTTAATACACATGCAACTAAACAGAACTGAGTGGTCAGCAATGGTCTTCTCTACTTCACACTTTGAGTCAGGGCAAGAATGAAAGATTTCGAAACCACTTCAATATGAAGCTGTTCATACTGGAGTTGAGCTTTTGCCTTTCCCTGAAGATATGGTATATAGACCTGGATGTTATGCTTGGCTTTAAGTAATGAAGCTCGTTTCTTTGTGGCCAGAACTTTATGTAGAACAGTTTTGGTGTTCTAGCCTAAATCTGAACACCCTTGTTTTCAACTCGACAACGTTATTCAACGCTGCTGGGTTTCTTGGAACATTAAACTCGAATGACAACACATACCTGCTTTGGAAAGGCAGTTAAACTGAATGGCTTTCTATCTTCTCTTTTCTTTTTTGTTTTTTTTCTTTAACTGTCATTTCAAGAGTGAAAGTCATGCCAGGGAGATGACACCCCCACAGCACAAATTCTTCCTGCTCATTACTTTGTCCTGATAAACAGCAGCTTGCTGTAGTTGCTTTATTTTCTGCTGTGATTCAGGGCCTGAGTACAAAGAACAAGAAAATGGAGAAGGTTTTCCCATCCAACCAACAACATGGGATGATGGGTCTTTTGGTTGTTGTGGTGGTGGTTTTGTTTTGTTTTGTTTGTTCTGTACTAGGGTCAAAGTTAAGCTTTGTGGTGTCCTTTGTGAAGAGAAGATCTTCACACATGGCAGTTGATATGTTAGGGACATGTGCCTTGGGTGCAGGAAACCTTGCATTGCCTGATTGGAACACAGAGTTTGATGCTGGAAAAACCTTAGGTGCTACAGGCTGAAGTGCTCACTAATGCAGCAGCCTTATTCTTGTGTAAGGGAAGATTTAAACTGTCCTGTGTAAATATTAAGGTTTGCTTTGTTTTTGATTAGAAATGTTCATCTCCTCCTGGAAAACTTTTCCTGATAACACCCCTGAAGATACAAGTGTGTTGCTGAGGAAATGTTGACTATCAGTTTGTTGCTGTATTCTAGTGAAGACAGGCGTTAATGAATTCCTGTCTCAGCCTGTGAATACATGGCACCATGTTAAATGTTACCTTTCCTCTGAGAACAGCAACAGGACCTGAGGGAACAGCATGGAGCTGGGACAGGGAAGGGTCAGGTTTCGTGTTAGGGACAGGTTCTGCACCCAGAGGGTGGTTGGGCACTGGGACAGGCTCCCCAGGGCAGTGGGCACAGCACCGAGCTGCTGAAGTTCAAGAAGTGTTTGGACAATGCTCTCAGACATATGGTTTGGGTTTTGGGTGGTCCTGTGTGGAGCCAGGAGTTGGATTCAATGACCCTGTGGGTCCCTTCTAACTTGGAATATTCTGTGGTTCTATGATTCTGAATTCCTATGTAATGTCCCTCTAAAGCTATTCTCCTGAGAGTAGATAATACTTACATCAACTTGAAATCAGTGGGCTGAATGTGCTTTCTAGATTCAGAAGATAATACTAATGATAACATTAATAACCAATACCCAAAGTTCAAACAGGGCTTTGTTAGGGGAAAAAAAAAATAATAATAATAATAATTAAAAAAAAAAAAAAAAGAAAGAAAAAAGAGAGAAAGTCATTTTGCTGACACCTTTCCATGTGAGGCCACAACCACACAATTGCTTTCACAGAACTGCACCTGGGCTGACTTCAGTGTACTTGTGTGGGTACAGATGGCCAGCCACACAAAGTCCGTTGAAGGCTCAGTGTCCCCAGTGCTCTGAATTCTTCTAAGGAGATTTCAAGCCATGGTGGGAGAAAGGAAAGGAAAGTGTACTGAATCAAGGAGGAAAGAATACATGCAAAACTATTCTCACCGTTTATGGTTTAGGTTTTAGTAGTGGCTGCAATCCCTTTTGAGGTTCTGTCCCAATATATGTTGTGTACCCTGATGGTGACATGGCTATTTGAGTTGGATAAGACATCAAAAGAGAATAGAGGAATTAAAATTGGAAGTGTGAAGTACAACAAAAATAGCACAGCAGTGTTGGCAAAGTAATTAACGAACAAGCACTGCTTCCGCAGACAGTTAGCGTTTAACTGTTTTTGCAAAGCCCCTTATAACCAACCAATTGTTGCCCTTATTTTATGGCAAGATGAAAAAAAAAAAAATCCAATGTTATAAAGAATAGGGGATTTTTTTATCACAGGATGTCACTGCTGTTTACAGTAGAATCAGTACTTAAAAGGTCAATAGAGGTTTTTCTTCCTTTACTTCAGTGCTAGATTGGATAAAGTTACACAAC